TTTGGTTGATTTGATTTGATTGGCTGATGGTCATGTTTTGATCGACGTAATTGCTGACTCAGGATAACCAATCATTTCACTGTCCCTGCTGTTCCTTTATATAAAATAAAGCAATATTATTGGATAATATAGATATTAGAATATAGATCAACATTTGATAAAATTTTTTTTAATAATTTTGTCAAATTTTTAAATTTATTAATTTCAAAAAAATATAACTTTATTAAATTCAAAAAATAAACTTTGTAACTTTGTTCTTTAGGTTTGATTTTATTATTTTACAAAGATTTGATTTACAACTACTTTAGTTCTCTATTTATAAGCTTTTAAAGATCATGTATTTTATATGTTGATTTAAGAATGCCTGCACTGTAGCAACATTATTGTAAATATAATTAGTAGAGCCGAAAGTCATATTGCATAATTAAAATTAGAAGAACTAAGAAGTAATCCAAAAAGATGAACCATTTAAAAAAAAAAAAAGTTCCAAACAGGCCAGCCTTTTCAGCAAGGAAGATACGATGTTATGTGAGAATTGGATATTCTGTAGATTTTAGCGTTAAGAATTTTACCAATTCAAATAAAAATAATATAAATAAGACTGATTAAAATTAAAATCACATCTTGTTCAAAGTGTTATAAATCAATTAGTTGACTATAATCGATTCTTAACCGATTTTTTAAAAAATGTTGTTAGAGTAATTTTACTTATGACACTTGCCCAAACCTTTAACCTCATACCAATTCTAATCCTAATTTTAATTGCTTTGTTTTAGACTTTCTTTCAAATAAGGAAATCAAACAACGGTTCAGTAATATTTGTCTTAAGAATGAAGATAAGAATGAAGGAAAAAACTCGGGTTGGGCACATTTGGGTTTTTAAGAGCGGAAGTTATATACGTGACTTCTGAACTATCAGTAAAAAAATTTTTTAAACTTCACTATATCGAAAGTTTTATTAGTAAATTCACTATACCGAATAAATTTATATAGACTGGTGTTGAGTCTAACTTAGCTATAACTATGTCTGTACTACATTGAAGTGACTTGTATCTGGTAATCGAATTTACAGATAGCAAGCACAAATCATTTCTCTTACAGGGGTTGTTATTAAGAATAGAAAACCTTGCAATCTGCTAATACAGTAATAGATGTCGATCACTCGACACGCGACAAATTGTGTAACTGATAATCTCTCCTACGCCACAAATATACGAGTCCCACAAAGTATATGATAAAATAAAAAATTCACGCGTTTTAATAATGATCTTCCAATCAATTCGCATACTAGTATTCTGCTCGAACGCTGTTTTTATATTTCATGAGCGTTCGATCCTCATTTTCTAGTTAAACAAAAGTTTTGTGGCAATTTTTGAGAAAACTTAAAGAAGTTACTTATATATATTAACTTTTCGGTGGTTAAATTGTCATACATAAAATAACTAAGAAGATCAAACCAATCACAATTATCGATATTATATAAAAAAAATTTATATATAAGGAAATAAACAAATAAATATGCATTCTTCATAGATCAGCAAACAATTATTCTGTTGTTACATTCGCCTGTCTTCCTAATTATATTAACTTAAAAATGATAAAGAGCAGTTTTAAACCTAGTCCTTTCAAACCTCCATCAAGGATACCTTTAAAACCATCTACTAGTGACAACATACCCAATACATCACAAGAAAAAAAAGTAAACCCTCTAACTTTAAATCCATCAAAGCGTATTAAAGTCGACAATGACTCTGCCGATGATGAAAACACTTATCGTTTTGAACCTGAAGATCCTGAGGATGAAAATCGTACGCGAAAAATTCCAAAAAATGATTACAATGACTCTTCTGATACTGATACAAGTCTTCCAAGTGCAATTCGTTGCAATTTATCACTTCCCGCTCCTATGAAAAAATTTCATAAACCTTTCATACCTCCTACTTTTCTCAACCCACCTCCGTTCCTTCGAAATCAAGAGGGCATTCAGAAAAAGCGTCCTGGTCGGGGTCCTCGACATGTTGTAAAGAAACCTTCGTTAGCTCCTGACGAGATCGTACTTGATAAACCTTATAAACCCTTCATACCTCCTACTTTACTCAACCCATCTCTGAACCCTCTAAATCAAGAGGGCATTCAGAAAAAGCGTCCTGGTTGGGGTTCTCGACATGTTGCAAAGAGACCTTTGTTCGATCCATATGCTCCTGACGCGATCGTACTTTATGATCCGAATGATGATCCTGAATTAAAAGAAGAAGAAGAAGAAGTCAAAATCAAAACTAACAAAAATAAAACTGTTGCAGAAATATTGGGAATCAAGAATGAAACGAGAAAAAAAGTTCACGTGGTTGTTGGTATGTCACGATTCATTATTTTTTATTATGTTGATTGTTGTTAGACTATATAATTAAATTGTTCATTTTCTTAGATCCCATTTTAGGTAAAAAGCTTCGACCACACCAAGTTGAAGGTGTAAAGGTATTTAATTAATCCATGGATATCATATAGGGACTTTGCCTTGAAAATCACGTTATGGGACATATAATTTACTATATCCAATAACGCAATTTTCAAGGCAAAGACTCCATATGTTAGTTAATTGAAATCAAAATTTTGTTATTAATGTTCCAAATTTAGTTTTTGTATAATTGTACGACCGGAAAAACAGTTGAAGACGCTTATGGGTAAATAGGCTATATGATTACTACCTATTTTGTACTGTTAAATCTCTTTGCTTATTGTTTCTAATATTTTCTTGTAGATGTATAATGGCTGATGAAATGGGTCTTGGTAAAACTGTAATTGTTTTCTAAGAGATTTATAAACGTTATGTTACACGGTTTTATTTCATCCATATCAAGTTTATGTTACATAATACAGCTTCAATGCATCACCCTTTTGTGGACATTACTTAAACAATCACCCTTAGCTGGTAAAGGAACAATAGAAAAATGCATTATCGTTTGTCCATCAAGTCTTGTACATAATTGGGCGAATGAATTGGGTAGGTAGTGGTATATAACTAGATCCAGTCACATTTTATTGACGCGTCTCGTTTATTAGAAAAATGGCTTGGGCCTATAAGATTAAAGGCACTGGTTATGGACAGCAAGGGAAAGAAGGAAGATGTATTAAAAGAATTGAGACACTATGCTGGTGCTAAAGGAAATTTGATTGTTCGACCAGGTATATATAAAATACATAACTTATATAAAAAAAAAATGTTTAATCTACAATAATTATTTATCACGTTTATATATATATATATATATTTTTTTTTTTTAAAAAAAAAAAAAAAATTTAAAAGTGTTGATAATTTCGTATGAGACTCTTCGAATAAATATAACAGAATTGAAGACTACCAAATTTGGCTTATTATTGTGTGATGAAGGCCATAGATTAAAAAATTCGAGTGAGTCAATTATTGATATTTAATATATTATTAGATTCTCTTATTATGTTCATTATTATTCATTCATTTAATTATTCTCGATTTAGATTCCCAGTTATTCCAAGCCTTAAATTCGCTTCAAGTTCAACGCAGAGTTATTTTGTCTGGCACGCCAATTCAGGTTAAGATTGTTATTTTATATATTTATGTTGTGTATAAACGGTATTAATCATGTTTAAATATTTCAGAATGATCTTTCAGAATATTTTTCCTTGTTGAATTTTGCAAACCCTAATTTTCTTGGAACACCTAGCGAATTTCGTAGAAATTATGAAAATCCTATTTTACGCGGGCGTGACGCTGATGCTTCTGAAAAGGAGAGAGAAACTAGTGACCAAAAGCTGTCTGAATTATTGGAAGTTGTAAGCAAGTTTATAATTAGGAGAAATAACGATCTTTTGTCAAAATATTGTAAGTCGATTGTCGGCACATATTTTTTGAAATCTCAATAATTTCAACCAGTGTATAATAATTTTTGTAGTGCCTGTGAAATACGAGCACGTTGTATTTTGTCGTTTGAGCGAGTTTCAAGTGTCATTATACAATTTGTTCCTTACTTCACCAGAAATTCAAAGTCTTCTTCGTGGCGCATCGTCTCAACCACTCAAGGGTATCCGGACTCGATAGTTTGATATGTGCTTGAAAATTTATGTAAGATATTAAATCTACAACATTCCTCTAACCATGAATACTCCAATAGCAATTACTATGCTTAAGAAATTATGCAACCATCCGGACTTGCTTGATCTTCCTAAAGAACTTAGAGGGTCCCAAAAATGCTTTCCTCCAGGGTATTCAATAAAAGACAAAGCGAGAACGGTCAAACCAGAATTTTCAGGAAAAATGCTTGTATTGGATAGGTAATTATACATACAAATTTATCTCATAATTTATCTCATAATTATTTCTTTGCTTATTCAATATTTGCCACTTTTAATGGCTATAGAATGTTAGCAAAGATTAAAAATGAGACAAAAGACAAAATTGTCCTGATTTCGAACTATACACAAACTTTAGACGTGTTTGAACGATTGTGCAGAACCAGAAAGTAATGTATATTTATTTATTGTTGTTTTAATTTATGAACATATTTTTAAATGATAGTATTTTAATTTTATAAGATATGGCTGTTTGCGTCTTGACGGTACGATGCCAATAAAAAAGCGTCAGACCCTTGTAACTAGGTTCAACGACCCAAACAGTTCAGAATTTGTTTTTCTACTAAGCAGTAAAGCCGGTGGATGTGGATTGAACCTTATCGGCGCAAATCGGCTTGTTTTGTTTGATCCAGGTATATTAATTATGTTTATGTGTTTTCATTATATTGTTAGTATTTTAGCTCGTTTTTGTCAAATATATTTACCATTCTATATTGATAGATTGGAATCCTGCATCAGATCAGCAAGTAAATATGTTATGGTAATCTTAGTCTAAACATATCGCAATAACTAATTACATTTTTAATAGGCGTTGGCTAGAGTCTGGAGAGATGGTCAAAAGAAAAATTGTACGTAGCAAGTGGGAAAATAATATGTCTTTTATCTAATCACATATTTGAATCTATAAAGGTTTCATATATCGATTTATTTCGACGGGATCTATTGAAGAGAAAATCTTTCAACGTCAATCGCATAAACAATCTCTTTCTTCATGTGTTGTGGATGAAGATGCTGACGTTGAAAGACACTATACATTTGAGTCCTTAAAACGTCTTTTCCTTTTCAATCCGGATACTATGTGTGATACACATGATACTTTCAAGTGTATGAGATGCGTAAAAGGTATTCAACGGATATCTCGACCACAAGGAGAGACAATGAATTATAGTGATACAAGCTCGTATGTATTTTTCACGTATTATTGTTTTCCTTAAACTTACATTATAAACTAAACACCTTATTCATAGGTGGGATCACTTTACTGGTGGAAATGATATGAATAAGATCCATGATAATATCCTAAAGGCTGAGGCAAATCAAGGCGTTGTTTCATACGTGTTTCAATATATTTCTCACTAATTCTCAATATATGCTTTGAGTGTTTAGAAAAGAAATTAATGTTATCAAATATACTATCAAAAGAACGAATGATAACTAGTAAGAATTGAAATATCTTTTAGTTTTTATAATAATAACTTGTAATTGTTTTAACAATCATTTATATAATTGCATAGTTGTAATTTAATGGGTAGATACGTAAATTAAATTTGATGGCAATATTATTACAATATTTTGAATTGAAACAAACATAGGCTAAGAATTTATATTACAGCTATTATAATGCTATTTGTCTAAATCTTGTTCGTCAATTTTTTAAAAGAAAAATATATTAAATGCAAAATTTTAACACAATCTATATATTATTTTAATATATATATTTATGGGTATTGCACGTAGCAATAGTATAATAGAAGGTTTTGTTATATAAAAGTTGTATAGTGTTTAAAAAAATAATAAATGCTGCAGAGCACTAATCATAATGATTTACTATGGTTTTTTTTGCTTTGCAGTACTTATATAGGCTTGGTGTTAACAAAGAAACAAAGTCAACAAAAAAAGATTTTGTGAAAAATTGATTTTTATATTATAAATTTTGTAATAAATTATAAAAAAAAAACTAGTATCATGGCTTTTATACGTATACGGGGTAGAAATTTGCGTAATTTTACATATAAGTTATATTTGTATGTAAATAGCGTTGGCCAAAAATTTCGTAAAGTTGACATTTAAAGTCTTGTAGTGCTGGTAAAACTTTCGCACTATTTAATTGCTAATGTAAAAAGTTACGTACGTACTTACGCACATACGTACAATTTTGTATTTTTATTGAACCTTTTATTCCGAAATTACAAACTTAATCGAATAGGCTGGAGTACCATTCGGTCAATTTTCATCAGGTGTTCCAGAAATTATGAAAATAGCAGTAACAGCTGTAATAAAAAATTGTCCGAATGATTGTTTGGCCGATTCGGTAAGTTTTTGATTCGTCAGTAATAAACTTTTGGTTTGGGCATGATTCACATATAAAACGATATATATTTTTTAATACTTAATGATAGTATTCTATATTAATTTTTGTTTGAAGGCATGTACATTATGTTTGGCAATTTAGTCTGTACGAAAATTTATGGTGAAGACTATTCTTGCCAATCAACAGATCGTAACAAAAAAACTTATATAGTAAGGCACTAATAAAAAAAAGTTCAATGTTATCAAGAATATATTGACTGGATTAAAAAAATAACGCCAGTTACAGTATAATTACAAACAACCAATATTTGTCAAAACTGCATTGAAAATTATAGTCGACGAAACCTATAAATATATATTATAAAATATAGTTCAAAAGGCATTAGATCAAAGTATTGAAACGATAGATTTAAAACTAGGGAACCCTAGCTGCTCATCGTAACCGCAGTTGAACTAAAATCAACCGATTTTCCAACGAATAGGTAAAATAAGTCGCGGTTTAGAAGAATAAAACTATTCACCAGCTTGTAATAACAATTTACAAGTATTAAAAAAGTTTTTATTAATATTCTTAAACTTTTACATAATTAACAAAACTATACTATCGTATATGTAAAACGACTTCTATTGAATTAAACATTCTCTAAAAAAATATATAACTTTCGAAAACAATCTGTAAAATTTTTTATGGTAAAATCAATGTGTTAATTATATAAATAATAATATATAAGAAAAAAAGAAAAAACAACGTTGAACTTTGTGAATTAAGCAGTACAATATATTTTTATTGCCTTTTACTATACAGTAGATAGTACTTCAACTCTTAGCAGATCTACCTTCAATTGCGCGATTCAACTTGACTTTCTTATCAAAACGTTCGCTGGGAAGGTAAAGTATTATATGGTTTATTTTTTTTTTAAGTTTACTAATACCCGAAAATTCTGGTTTTATACTACTATCCTATATAAATACTTGTGTAATCGAAACCTGCTCATGACATTTAGATTCTGAATTGGATCTTCTGAATAAGTTCATCCAATCAGTATTATGTTTTCATGTGACTCAAAGACCGAGCCTTGAAAGGACCTGCCAGGATCGGTTAGGACTCGATCCCCAAGGACCGATTAACACACGACTCTCTTTAGACCAGTTTGCGCGAGTAACACAACCAAAAAAGGAAATCGAATTTTGTAAATAAAGTGCCCTTTAGACGACCCCTTTACGCGTTTGTGATCAAATAAGTACCTTCTTATTACTTCTTTTTTCTTGTGTATTTCTTTTACTTCCTTTTTTCTTGCAACTTTTTTTTGTTTTAGCAATACTTTTATTAATAAAACGCTTTTTTTCGTTTTTTTAAAGTTGTATATACGCTGTTGGCGCGACTAGATAGTAAGTATAATCACACGTAGATTATATGAAGCTAGTAAACAGTCTTTTTTATTCCTTTGTTTTTCGTGTATGCTTTGGTCACTACCGATCAAAGATTTTAATATTTTAAATAGAGTAGTTTACCCCAAAAATTGCCCGGCTCGTCAAGAGTCTCGTTGGTATTTATCGTCCAGCTGAAGAATAACTGGAGACCTAGTGATTATTAAGGAGTAATTACTTAAGATTCTCCGCCGATGTCTAGTTGGTGTTATTGTTCTTCTGGATGGTATACTGGAGGCCTAGTGATTATCAAAGAGTAATTGCTTATGATTCTCCGCCGACGAATTTGGTGTCACCGGAAGCATCAACCTCCTCGTGGTGTGACCGGATAACCAACTAATGGATGCTTAACCCGTTTCTTTTTTATTTCTTTTATTTTTTTTAATCAAATAATATATAAGTAGTTTACTAATCTTTTTTTTTTTAATTTTATATCAGGATTCGAAATTTCTACGGCATACTAGAAATTTATACAAGGTTGTGCTTTAGAATTAGTAACGGTAAAGTTTTTTTTTTAGATAGTTATAATGGTTTATAACTCTTACGTTTTTTTTATTTACTTTAATTTTATATTTTTTAGGTCTTTTTAAAGTTTATTTTGAGTTTTTTTTTATTACGTAATTACTTTATAACTTAGAGAACCTTTTATCTAATGTATATATGTTAAAAAATCAAATAAAAAAAAGTTTTTACGTGCTTAACATTAAATAAAATAAGTATATAATTGAAATGTTGCTATAATATTCATTTAAATTCAGTGCGCATATTTTTGAGATCCTTTAAACTAAAGTCTTGACGAATATAAATATGAAAGCTCAAATTGTAATATATTTAGCTGTTAGGGAAAAAGTACGTACTTACATACGCACGCTGATCTTTGACGTAGTTTAAAAAAAAAAAATCTTATGCGAAGTAATTGAAAAAAAAAAAATCAAGCTATCAAATTATTTCTTTTTATGACCTGCACAATTTACATTTCTTTGCGAAAACACATATCAAAATAACGCTCTAAGTTTTCATTTTAAATTGGTTTCAATGGGTGCAAAAGTTTTGAACAAGTGTTACATTGAAGCTTTTTTTAGATCTAGGTGCGGTTAATTTTTTCGATTTCAAAATAGAGTATTTCGAAGTCGAAACCTTATATTACAGTATTATATTATAACAAACTTTATGGTAAAAGCAAAATTTGCAATTAATTACAATTAATTGCAATTAATCGCTATTTAATTGTTTTTTTTTTTTTAACAATTTTTGATTTAATAAAGATACATGAGGCATGACCTCACCTTAACACCGAGAAAAAAAAAATATATATATATATATATATATAGAATCCGTACCATACGACCGGGGTAAAATCGCCACCCAAAAAAGTTTCGAAAATCATGTGATATTGTCAATTCATCATGATTAGAATCATGA